ATATCAAATAGTCGCTCCTAGCAGTACAGTACCTACAAACAGCATTTTAGCAATAACAATAATACAAGATTGTGTTAGTAACGATAAAAATATAATAAACAAGGCCCGAATTTTCAAACGAGTAAATTTATAGTGGTAAATATTATTAAAATTTATTAAATCATGAACAATAATTGTAACAGCAAAAACAGAATATTTTGGGCAACGCCCTTCAGCGGCATAAATGCGCTCCAGATAAAAAAAGACTATATAATATTACAAATAAGAATTACATTATATTGTAAAATTGAACTCGCAATAATGACAAATAAGTATAAAAATTACTAAACTGAGCGAATACTAGTCACGCGCGGTTATCGAGATGTAAAAATAAATTTAGTACATTTACAAAATTTAAGGGGACATAAAATATATATAATATTTACGCTTTAAACAAACTACATACACGTGAAAGTTGTGCTTATAACATTCTGTTTTTATTGACTAACACATTTTTATTATAGATATTTTTTTATTTGATATTAGTTTTATTGTTATAAACAAAAATTTTTTAAATAACAAAAATCTAATTTTTTTATATAAATATTTTAAGTGCTAAAAATGACTTATGCAAAGTTTCATTGAAATTCACTAATTAGTTTATAATATAAATATTTTGTTTATTTACTGAACAATTAATGTCTGCATCTCAATGTATTATAACTTTACATAAATATTTTTGAATTCATAAAGTATTTGCGTAAAAAAATTGAAATTTTTATCATTATTTTATAATACATTCTCATGTATTTCTATTAGAGTACAAATTTAAAAAATATTACTTTCTATTGAAATAACTTTTAATCCAGAGATGGTCAACTGTCTTTAATTTTTTTTTGTGTTACTTTTAAATGCAATTTAGAATAATCTGTAATTTTTTCAAGTAATTCTTCATGTATTGCATTTGTCTTACAATTTTTAAGGGGATGCTAGAGTGAACAAATTGTCGAGATATGCAGATCGATAAAAATCTTTACTGAACAAAAATCTTTTACTGAACATAAATCCTTTTACAGGATTAAAGTACAATAGAAACACAAAATTGGAACGAAATATACTAAAATCGAAAAAAAAGTTAAAAACTTACATTTTTTCGACTCGTAGAGCTGTCACCTGACGTAAATGTTTCCTTAATACAAAAGTTTTATAGTTCGTTTGGATAAAACGACAGTGCAGCATCCGGTGTACTATTGTGTACACAAATAATACTTTGTTTGCAGAATTAAGATTGAAAGTTTGAAAAAAAGATTTATATCGATTTATGTCTGTAAATTGCATGTATACGAATGCTGAGCGAAGACTCAAAATAGTAAACAAAGCAATAATTGTATCTAGCAGTAGGTGCTCGATCTTGCAAGAGATGGCGTTGCAATATGTCAGATAAAGGCAGATGTATGTGTTTGAGTGAGACAAAACGATAATATAAGAAATGAATTAGGGTGCGTTCCGAATTACGCATGAAGCGCACGATGCATCATTTTGTCTTTCTTGTTTACCAATTAATAAAGAAGGATAAATCGTGCATTTTATGTATAACTCGGAACGCATCCTTAAAGATGTCACTATTATCGATTTTTTCAATTTGGAATAAAAAATATGTGCACTACGTCGATCAAGTTCGGCCATCATCCCAGCATTCCTTTTTTTAACAATATACATATAATACTATAACGTTAGTGATCCTTTGATATAATTACCTTTATAAACCCTTACAGATACACATCACTATCGATTATGAAAAGAAGAAGACTCCTTGCAAAAAAGATGTCACAAATGTGGAAGCTACTCGGCACCAAGTATAATGAATTTGATTTATATTGTAAAAATTATCAATTTTTAAGCATAAGTAGTAAAAAATTTCAAATAAAATAAATAACAACGCTTACTTTAGAATCGAAAGTTGACAAGAGTAATATATATACTATATATTATACTATAATATAGAAACTCTGCAAAATTATACATATATCTGAAAATTTAATATTAATGCAATGACCTTTTTTTTAATTCCAACCCCTTTCTTATTTTTTCGTCCATGATACTTTCTAACGATAATGCAGCAATGTCGCAATGTTACTGCAATATTAGTAGCATATTGCAATATTTCTAAAATAATCTGATGTATATTTAAAAAAAAACTTAAAAATTTACTTGTGAGAAATATATTTTTCACTGAAATACATTTTTTTTAAGTTTACGATAAAATAAAATTTTATTCCTAGTAAGCCATTTAGTTTACTTTTTTACAATTAATAAGATGTATTTTATAGAAATATATATTTCGTCACAATCAAATTTTTTCATAACTAATAAATATCGAGAATATTTACGAAAAGAAAGTACACAACATTTATCTTGCAATCCTTTGACAATATTTTTCTCTCAATGTATTATATAGGTACCTATATTAAAAATAATTTTATACCTATTTTGTATTTTGAATAACAAAATTCGTACTATCGTCGAAAGAAAAATATATAAGTTTTTGGAGCAAAATGTGCAAAAAAAAACTGCAAACTCTTAACAGCGAAGAATATATATTTGTTCTCTGCCGTTAAATGGCTAATTCATTTTTCGCGCGACCCGGATTAATTCCAAACGAGGCGATTTCTCAATCGGCATTTGCTCTCGAGTGTTATTGTTGTCCAATAACAATATAGACGATAGACGCAATCGGGCAGAACGATCATTAAAACGACGAGGTTGGACGCGAGAGCGACAGGACAGGTCCGTAAATATCTGAAATGAAATCTGGACGCGCGCGCGAGTGAATAAAGATAATAACGTGTCGATAAAGCTTATACTGCACATAAGGAAAACGTCATAAGACTTTCGCCTATAAATTCCATCACTATTACTTCTATAAACTATATGCCATCCGCACGCCACGGCAATAAAATGCGATATAACGTGTCTTCGAAGCGACTGGTAAGCATGTAGTCGATACATCGTCTGCTACAGATTATTTCAGAAATTGCAAGGAGAAGCGACAACTCTTTGAACGAATTACGAGCCGTAAAATGTGTGTAAGAAATAACGAGTGGAGACTACTCGCAACAACGCTCTAAATTTAATTAATTCTCATGTATGAATTTATAATAATATTAATATATGTACGTTATAATACACTGCTTTTATAAACAGTCTTGATTATAAGTATGAAGCACTCCTACAAATCTCTGAAGAAAATACCCGTGAAAGCCGCTCAAAAGTATTATCCCTGTAAATTAACATAAATATCGTTCTATATCTAATAAAAAATAAATAAGAAATAGATTTATTGAAAAAAAAATGATTTATTTTTATAACAATTTTAATATTTTATTAGTCCTTTGATTTTATTACTGCTTTTTCCAAAAAAAAATTGTGATAGATTCAAGTTGATTTTTATGAATGCCAAGAGCATGTGTGTGTGTGTGTGTGTGTGTGTGTGTGTAAATATTAAAAATTGAAAGTCTTTGCTTTGAAAATATTTCAATCGACAAGTTTTCATCACGTTTCGTGAATATTTCTCAAGAATCTTTTCCAAAATGTAACATAAAAACGCAACCGCGATTACATTTATGAACAATCATAATAAATCTGGCAATATACTGGCGGAATACTGGCAAAATTCCAAGGTAATATTTACGCGAAAGTAACGGCAAATATTCTCGGAATATATGCTCCACCTTCAG